CTTCATCATTCCCACGTCTAACAGGCAAAGGAAGCTTTGGAGCACACTTGTAATCTTACGCTGTTGGAAGATAAACAAATAGAGAATGGTAAATTTACATGAATCTCACTCTAAATGGGTTTATATAAATATCATATGTAATATGGCAATGACAAACCTTAGCAGACTCTGTGGGTCCAGCTTGCGCAATGAAGCACGAGCGATTTGCTGCTGCACTGGGCAATCCTCCTCAACCCACACAGTGCCGTCTTTTGCCGTGTGGCTCTGGCTGGGCTTTCCAGTACCACGGGGCCTCTTCCGTGGAGGCATGTTGGATTCTTGTTCTGTCTCCTTTTCAGATTCTTCTGAGGAGGTATCAGTGGCCTGCTGGACAAATGAAACCTCTCCTCCATCAGAATCTGCTTCGTCCATTTCCTGAAGCAAGGCCAAAGCCTATTGCGCGGAGAGGTTCTTCCTGCGTGGCAGTGATACGGAGGCCATCCTGATGTGCGTTCTCAGAAATGCGAACAAGAAATGATTCTCCCGCCTGGGTCGGTCTGCTTTTATGCACAGCACTGTGACACCCAGGTTGAGTTCATTCTCCACCTCTCCTATATCTCTCCCCTACCTGCAGAGTGAGCTCCTGTAGAGAGGAGACCTCCTGCAAAGATGTAACAGCCTCCCCACCAGTTAGAGAGCCCTCCAGTTGAGCCGATGCACCAAAGGTCCCCCGCACCAGGGCTCAGCCCCCATGCACCTGCCCACAATTTTCCAGCTGAGGACCATGACTCCGCTTCACACTTGGCTGCGAACCATTCCAGTGTTAGCTGGAGACCACCACCTGACGAAGCCAACGGAACCACATCATCTGCGAAAAGTGGAGATGAGATTCTGAGACCACCAACATTTAAGCTCTCCGCCACTTGATCACACCTCGAAATTCTGTCCATAAAAATAATGAACAGAATCTGTGACTGAGGGCAGCCCTAATGTCCAACACCCACTGGGAATGACTTCTGTAGCAACGGGTCAGACACCCCATACACTTGAAGCACTACTGACAAAATACTCAGAGGGACAGTGTCTGATACCTGCTCCAAGTCCACAAAACATCTAGACTGCTTGGGCAAACTCCCAATGATTCCTGAAATATTCTCACGAGGGTTTAGAGCTGGTCCAGTGTTCTGCGACTGGGACAAAACCTGCATTGTTCCTCCTGCATCTGAGGTTCAACTAACAGATGGACTCTTTTTTTTTTACCCCCAGCACCCTGGCATAGACTTTCCCAGGGAAGCTGAGAGGTGTGAGCCCCCTATAGTTAGAGCACACTCTCCAGTCCCCCTTCTTAAAGATGGGAACCACCACCCTGGTTTGCCAATCCCGATGTACTGCTGGTGATCTCTATGAACCATTGTAGAGGCGGGTCAACCAGGACAACCCTACAACACCCAAAGCTTTTAGGAACCTCATCCACCACAGAGGCCCTGCTACCAAGGAGTTGTTTAACTGAAGCCAAATAAATTAAGGTGCCACTTACAGACATTACATCCCAGTCACACTGATAAACCACTTGAGTTTTTTCAGCGAAAATGTTCTGAATATTGCCGACAATCATCCCGCTTTGTGAAAGCTCCTTCAGTAAACCAGCGAGCAAGGTTAGCATCAAACAAGGTGGCATACCAAATCGCTCAGTGCAAAAACCCTCACACCATAGCAGAGGAGCCGGCCTGCAGCATTAGACATGGTTTCTGGCATGTTGGATGACACGAGTGCTGCAAAAATAAAACTATCTCTCTGTCCAGTGACACTGTCACCAGACGTATAAATGACATTGGTAACGACCTTAAAAAACAGCTGGTAGATAAACTCAAAGACAAACATTTTGCCTTACAGTTTGATGAAGCAACAAAGACTGTTTGTTTATTGCTTATGTACGTTGTGACATGACAAAGTTCCTGTGTGAGGATCTACTTTTTTGTAAACATGTCAGAGACAGAGACACATCTGCAAAGCTATTCAAAATGCTGGCCTGCTTCCTGACTGAGAACGGGCTAAAGTGGGAGAACTGCATTGGTATTTGTAGTGATGGTGCACAGACCATGGCAGGGATGAGAAAAGGGCTTCGGGCGCTCATCAAGAAGGTTTCGCCTAATGCTGAATGGACACACTGTGTTATACACAGAGAAGCACTGGCATCAAGGCGCCTTTCCTATTTTTTCTAAGTAAGGTTATGACTGATATTGTAGGTGTAGTCAATTTTATAAAGACCAGACCACTAAAAACAAGAGTCTTCTCTGCTGTCTCAAGTCAAGTCAAGTCAAATCAAGTGCCTTTATTGTCATTCCAACCATGTGCAATGGTACAGTACACAGTAAAACGAGACCATGGTGCTACCTATGACATGTAACAGACAATCAACACAGGACTACACATGCAATGTGCAAAAAACCCCAAAAAGACAGTGCAAAACCAGACAGAACAGAACAATAAGACACAACCGCGCAAAATAACTGTGCAAAAGACTGAGCGTTGTGCAAAAAGTAACTTGGTGTATGAAGGTGTGCGTGTGTGTGTATGTGATTGTGCAGATAAGTGCTTGGTATGAAGGTATTTGTGTGTGTGTCAGTGTTCAGGAGTCTGACAGCTTGGGGGAAGAATCTGTTTCACAGTCTGGTAGTGAGGGCCCGAATACACCGGTACCTCTTGCCAGAAGGCAGCAGGGTGAAGAGTGTGTGTGAGGGGTGCGTGGGGTCCTCCATTAAGGTATGATAAGTGTCAGTGATGGAGGGAAGAGAGGCTCCAATGATCTCCTCAGCTGTTCTCATTATAAGTTGCAGAGTATTGCAATCTGATATGGTGCAGTTGCCATACCAGACAGTGATGCAGCTCCTCAGGATGCTCTCGATAGTCCTTCCATAGAAGATGGTGAGAATGAATGACGGAAGATGGGCTTTCCTCAGCTTCCACAGGAAATAGAGACGCCGTTAGGCTTTCTTAGTTATGGAGCTGGTGTTGAGGGACCAGGAGAGGTTCTCTGCCAGGTGAACACCAAGGAATTTGGTGCTCTTGACGACCTTCACAGAGGCTCCATTGATGTGAAATGGACAGTGATCTCTCTGTGCTCTCCTGAAGTTAACAGTCATCTCTTTTGTTTTGTCCACATTCAGACACAGGTTGTTGACCGTGTCCTGTTGTTGACTATATGTGACGAGATGGGAGCTGAACATCAAGCTGTGCTGTTTTACAGTGAAGCGAGGTGGCCGTCATGAGGAAAAGTCTTGTCCCGAGCTTTTGAGCTCAGAGAGCAGATGAGAATATTTTTGGAGCAGGAGCACAAGTCTGAAGTGGCCGAAAAATTTAGTGATGAGAACTTTCTGGTGAAATTGGGCTACCTTAGTGGCATATTTGGAAAGCTAAACGAACTAAATCTACGGCTTCAAGGGAAAGATAAACACCTCCTTCAGGTCACAGGCAAGATCAGCTCTTTCACCCGAAAGCTTGCAATGTAGGACAGCAATCTTGATGAAGGAAATACTGATTTATTCGAGAATCTGCTTTAATTTGTTGATACTGGCTATGATGCCACCTCAGTGATTCCATGTATTAAGCAGCACATTTCAAAACTGATCGCATACTTCCCTGAAAACAGTTCCCAGTATGACTGGGTGAAAGATCCTTTCAATGCACAAGCTCCAACTGGTTTCAGCTATGCAGAGGTTCATTGACATGACATCTGACTCCACTAAAAAACAATGTTAATAAAATTATTCTTTGTTTTAAGTTGATCTATATTTCTTTTTAGTTTTCTTTAATGTTAATAAGGATACAATGCTTTGCAGAGATGTACTTATAATACCAATTTGGGTAGACCGAAGCAGATATGACTCCTTCTTCAGCCTGATGACTCCCTTCACCTCCAGTGTCCACCATTTGGTTACAACATTGACCTCTAGGTCTCACTGTCCCACAGAGCATTGAAGTCTCCCAGAGGGACAACAGAGTCTCCAGGTGAAGCACCCTTGAACCCCCTGCTCAGGGACTCCAGTGGACTCTAGCCCACTGGGAAAATGCCAACGTACAGGCAGCAGGCCGAGGGGATACCAAGATACCCACTCCAGCCTGCCGCCTCTCATCAAGGGCAACTCCTGACTGGGACAGAGTCCAGCCTCTCTCGAGGAGACTGCTTCCAGAGCCCAAGCTGTGCATTTAGCTTAACCCGATTTTATCTAGCCGGTACCTCTCAACTTCACACTCTAGCTCAGGTTCCCCATCAGCAAGGGGACATTCCATGTCCCAGTCATCAGCCTTGGTGGCCAGGGATTGGGATTGGTCTGCCAGAGTCTCCACCCTTGGCCGCCGCCTAAAACACACTGTGCCTGATCTCTACAGCTCCATTAAATCAGTGATTTTAGTGTGTTAGAGAAGAAAAATGGTGGATTGGTGCAAATTGCATCCAGAACAGAAATTATACTGGGAATGCAATTTTGGTTGAACAAACACCTACACAGACAGCATGCTTAAACAGACAGACCAGACCCTGAACTTCAGTAGATAAGCTGATGAGCAGTCAGGGTTGCAGGGTTGTCTCCATTTCTACTGTACATGTTTCTACAGTAAAATCACTGTGGCAGTTGCTTTAAATTCTATTTGGGCTGGTTTCCATATTTGCTTATTGTTGTTGCTTTGTGTTAATAGGTAAACACTAAAAGAAAGATCATATGTTTGCCCTTATTAGGACAGGGATTTTCTGTTGGTGTGTGGGAAACTGTAGGCTATAGTTTATATTGTTAAATGTAACTATGTGGCAGTGTGTTTCAGGTCATTTTATCGTTTAGTGTAACAAATACATTTCTTTGGCAAGTAATAAAGTAGCATACTACATTACTTTTAAGAAAGGTAATGAATAATGTGTTTTACTTTTTTTGATTAATGACCCCAACGATGCACAGCACAGCCCTGCTCCCTGCTGCCTTTGTTTTAAGCTCTCTGTCTTGACCCACTGTTTTTCTTTCTATGTTTAGGATGATGAAGTGGTCTTACAATGCTCAGCTACAATCCACAAGGAGCAACAAAAACTTTGTCTTGCTGCTGAAGGCTTTGGGAACAGACTCTGCTTCCTCGAGTCCATTTCAAACTCCAAGGTACAGTATTGACATAAGTAATAATCCTTTATTTCACAAGAATAGCCAGATCACCATCAAATGAGTGGGGAAAAATGATTTCACTGAAGAAAAAAATCCAGAACGTGTTGGCTGTAGCATGTATTTATGTGTCATGTTCATCAAACCTTGATCATCAGATCACAAACCAAAATGCTTTTGGAGAAGTTGCCTAATTAATTAAATGAGCGTCACAGCTTCCACAATAGCATTACAGTTTGAAAACTACTCTATACCTCATAGCTTTCATAGCTCCATTCATGCTATATTTTATAGGATTCACGTGTTTACTAAGAATTGTATGTGCACAAAGTCAGAGCTGTACTCATCATAGATTTAATAAAGTCTCCTGTGCCACACAGGATAAACCGTGGCTCTTTTGGTGGTATAAAGTTGGCTTTCACAACAGTGGACAGGAGGTTTTAATTTAGATGTAAATTTATTGCTGTTTTCTTGTTGTTTCAGAATGTACCTCCAGATCTGTCAATCTGCACTTTTGTGCTGGAGCAGTCGCTGTCTGTACGAGCCCTGCAGGAGATGCTGGCCAACACCCAAGAGAAGGCGGATGGGGTGAGTGTGGGCATGCATACACACATCAGAGAAGAGAGTATTAATAAATATACTGTAGGTGTTGTTCACATTAGGGTGAGATCTTCTAGGGCAGACCTAGGGTAAGGTCATCTCCCAGCAAGAAGGTTCCTGGTTTGAACCCCAGCTGGGTCCTTTCTGTGTGGAGTTTTCAGGTTTTCCATGTGTCTGGGTGGGTCCTCTCCAAGTACTCCCTAAGCTGTGTAGGCAGACACAGGGGTGGACTACACAATATTAGGGAGTTTCCTATCACAGTTCAAAGACATTCATGTTAGGTTTGTTGGTGATTTCAAATTTGCGCATGGATGTAAGGAAGACAAAGTGTTTAAATTGTATAGACTAAAGCAGCCGTCCCCAACCACCAGTGCGTGAGTCGTTTGGTATCGTGTTGTAGTTGTGTGTCTTATTTTGAAAGAAATATTTATGCGTTAGTGTAGTGACCAGAGAGCATTAAGGGGCAGAGAGGAGGATGTTACTCTCAATGTAGTTGGCGCATTTCAGAAGGACACTGCTAATAAAGTAACACAATTACACAGTGAATTTGCGTTTATTATTATATTTACAAAATACCACAGTTTTTGTCTCGGTGGTATCATTTTATTTTGTTGTATTTATAAGCGACACCTTAAAGGCCGCTCTGTGAAAATATTGTCTGACATTAATCTGGTCTGGTTTGGGACCGCTGATCTAAAACACTGGATTAATGTATGTTTAAATGTGACCTGTCTAGCATTACATGGTAAGAAAGACCAGAAAAGCATTATGTAAATTATGTAAATGTTCATTCCATCCATGCCTGATAAAACACAAAGAGGAACATGACACACACACGAGAAAGAGAGTCTGCTTATTCCACTCTTTTTAATGGGGGTTGTTCAAAGTGGTGAAAATGAAGCTGCTGATAAGATTTGACAGAAAATGTTGGCTTATTTCACACACTTTGTCAGGTTATAAGGGTTTTTGACCCAAGCTTTTGTTTGTTATTGTGGGTTTGTTTTGTTCATTTAGCCTATTGTTTGCTGGGCTGTTACTTGTACAGACTTCTGTTTGAGTTATTATTATAGTAGTTTGTGGCTTTGTAACATTTGAAAAATTATGAAATCTGTACATTTTTAGTTAAACTACTGTGAAGACATCTACGTAATATATTTAACAAATTGTGTTAAAGCGTCTAAAGTGTTTATTTATTTATTGTCATGCCTGTTCCCGCAGTTTCCCATAAATTTTGCTTGGCTTGTTCCCTGCATTCGGGTTGAGGAGTCATATGATGATGATGAAGCTTTGATTCCACAATCCCAAGAAACGATGTAGAAAATTAATAAAATCGATATCAGTTGATAATAATCTGCCGATTGCCTAGTTGTATTCTGTGGGGGCTGGGAGCGCGCTTTGTTAGTCGCTCATTACGCCCAGGTTAAAGACTAACAAAAGTTAATTCTCTCCTACCTGTAGCACGTGGAGTTTTTGCGCCTATATCTAAATAAATAAATACTGCAGGTTGGACACTTATTTGTGGGACATGTACCAGTTGTTGGATTTGGAGTGTTCCTTTCACAGCACAAAATTTTTGAACCAGAGCACTAAAATCAGTCGCAAAGGTGATATACTAAGATTAATGGCAAACAGCAAGCAGGACTTTCTGCTTTTATGTTTATTTGGAAAGCATACATGGCAGGAATTGCCAGTTTTAAGCACGGTGCCAGAGTTTCGTGGTTGTTGTAGCGTTTTCCTGACCTTGTTAATCACCCAAAATATTTAGAACAAAGCATCACATATTTCTGGCAGAAATACTCACACACATGCATATATTGTTGTGCATTCGGAGCACATTTTGCATTTTATATAAGAACATTAGCAGTGCAATGAAATATTTGTTTTATGCTTTCATGTTCACAAACACAGGTCAGCAATAACCATAGAATTATTACCTTTTGTCTGGCTTGCTCAGTGTGCACAACTTGTATTTTATTTGCTGCAAGCATTTACCTATATCAGTATTTTATAGAAAGGTTCAACGTTATGTTTCTCTCATAATTATAGACTAGCTTAACAAATTTACAAGGTATAAATATATTGTTTAGCAAGCTTGTAAATGAATGCGCCATTACACAGCTCCTCGCCCTCTGATGGATACACAAAACATTACCAATGGTTTTCCTAAATGCCGCATAGGGGCGTTACTACTCATGGTTGCATGGCCCTGTCAGGTATAAGGCAGCCGTTTTAAGTGGCTGTATCTGTATTTCCTGGATTTGTTTTTTGCCTGTGGACAATTTTTGCGTCACCTCGCCTTTTGCTAACTTTCGCCTGCCTTCCTTAGTCCACATTTGGATCCTTCTTCGCTGTCCATCACTAAACATGAACACATTTCAAGTTCTATAAGATAGGTGTGGGTTTAAAAAATGTAGTTTGAATAATGCCATGTCGATTCATTCAATTTCGAATCTACTTTTAAATATAAATGTTAGTGCTGTCAGTGTTAATCTCGTTAAAATGACGTTAACGCCATAACTGCATTAACGCGGCAAATCTCTGTTAGCGAGTTAGCACGGATCGCCCTGTCCAAGGGGCTGCACGGCGTCAACGCATTAGCACGGTTAGCTAGTTATACATTAGTACATCATTTTAACGAGATTAACGCTGACAGAACTAATAAATGTATTTTGCCAGAAATGCCAGGATCTCAGGTTAAATCTCACGAAACTATTTCAACAACCACCAAAGAGTTAAAACAGGAAATGAGGTAAACAGTTCTGCAAAAACATGTAAAATTAAAGCGTGGAGCTCCCCGTTCACCCGACGGCACGTACACGGACATTCTGGATGGTGAAAGCTGACATCTCACAGATTCTGAAGCTGCAGGTTTCTTCACTCTCCGACCAAAATTGACTAAACCAGCAGCAAAAGAAGATCAACGCTACGCTTCAAATTTGATAAGCACTGTCATGCATTCTCTCTTACCTTTGCTTTTACTTCCTGCAGAACTCTCTCCCAGTGTATTTTCTGCATTATTTGCTTGCTTAGTATGCTTTGGTGCTTATTACGCACCAGTCTATCTGTTGTGTGCAGTGCTGTTGGCTGCTGCTCTTTTTTTTTTCAAAGATAACCTCTGACAAGAAAGCCTCATTTCTGCTGTTCAATACCTGTTCAAGAAATTTAAAGTTAAAGGGTTGATGCAAAACTGCAAAACACTTAGCCGTGTCTCTAATAAACCTCTGTTACTTTGCTCTGCTTCACTTCAGTAGCATCAGGCAATGTTCATATATTGATTCATGGTCTTCTTCAGTTTTCAGTTTTTTAACTACTGCAGAATATTTTAAAGGTGCTAGGTGCTATAAAAAGCCAGGCTAGGAAAATCTCCTTGATGTTTTTCTGTGTTTTATCCTCAGTTACTTTGACACAAAGGCATCTGCTGTGATGCTCACATCGCTGTCTCACAAGTGTCAGCTTTGTCTTTACACTTAGATATAAAAATATGGATATGTACTTTTTTAATCCCTATGGAAATTATGTGGGTTACAGTTGCTCCAGGACAGTAACAGTAACAGACTAAACTATTTAAACAATACAAAATGTTACAGATTTTACAAATTTAGGAAATAGCACTAATATATACAAATCACTCAATTATAAATAAATATCAACAATATTGACAAGAATATTACAGAGGCAGAATATATATGATTGACATTTGACTCTAACCTGTGAACTTTGTCATATGCTATTTTACTGCAGAGCATGTGCAAAAGGGTGTAACTATTGCAGTGTTTACAGTGTGTTAGATGGAGGAGTTGTACAGGGAGATGGCCACAGGCAGGAATGACTTCCTGTGTCGTTCAGTGGTGCTTTTTGGTAATCTCAGTCTCTCGCTGAACGTCCAGTCCAGTTTATTGTCTATGCATACTCCAAGGTATTTATAGCCCTTCACAATGTCCACGTTGACTCCTTGGATTGAAACAGGGGTCAAGAGTTTCCTGGTCTTCCTTGGTCTTTGCCACGTTGAGCTGCAAATGATTCTGCTCAGACCACATGTCAAAGGAGTCGACCACAGCCTGACTCATCACCCCTACTGATGCATCCAACCACCGCAGAGTCATCAGAAAACTTCTGAAGATGGAGGTCTCTGTGCTGTGGCTGAAGTCAGTGGTGTAGAGGGTGAAGAGGAAGGGGGAGAGGACAGTCCCTTGTGTTGCTGATCACCTTGTCAGACACACATTTGGGAAGACACACATATATTGGTCGTCCTGTCAGATAATCAACAATCCAGGACACCAGAGAAGCATCCACCTGCATCGCTGTTAGCTTATCACCCAGGAGGGTCGGCCTGATGGTGAGCAATGCACTGGAAAAGTAAAAAAAAACATGAACCTCACAAGTTCACATCTCACCAACTGGACGAGATGGGCGTAGACACACTTGAGCAGGTAGATGATGGTGTCCTCAGCTCCGAGGTGGGGCGGTAAGCAAACTGAAGGGGATCCTGATGTGGTCTGACTGTGGGTCGGAGCTGCTCCAGGACGAGTCTTTCCAGGGTCTTCATGATGTGGGAGGTCAGTGCCACAGGCCTGTAATCCTGGGGGCCACTGGGATGTGGCATCTTTGATACAGGGACGAGGCATGATGTCTTCCACAGCACTGGGACTCTCTGCAGACTCAGACTCAACCAGAACAGTTTATGAAAGACTCCACAAAGCTGGGGAGCACAGGCCTTGAGGACACGCGGACTAATAAAGGTTATCTTACTCACTCCATCTGGTCCCGCAGACCTACCTGAGTGGAGCCTCCTCATTTGCTTCTGAACCTGGTCGTGAATGAAAGTGATAGTTTCCACTCCAGCTTTCTCCTGTAATTGTCCTTAGCCTCTCTGATCGTGTCCTTCAGTAACACCTGGACCCTTCTCGACTTCTCTTTTTGCCCCCTCTGAAAGCCCTCTTTTTGTCATTGAGGAGGGCTTTGATGTCCTTAGTCATCCACAGCTTGTT